GGGTTTGTATTTCTTGTGGGTAGCTACCAAGTAGTTGGATTTGTTGTCTACTTGGCGATTGAGAGTAAATTTTGGAGGATGCCTTTTCTTTCACATGTTATTGGTACTTGATTGCATCATTTTCTTGCAATTATATTGATAGTGATAATGATATCAAGTCTAAGAACAATAATAATAGTAATAACATCCATATCCAAGAATGGTATCAAATAAAAATGTTTGGTGGTGATGAGAATCCAACCATGAATCCTAATCCAAAAAAATTCTAATTTTATTTTTTAATAGTTATATCTTTACAACTAAGCACAAAAACGAATTAGCAAACATGATTCAAATTCAAAGCTGGAAAGTTGATAAACTGGAGTATTAAACATGATAACTTATGAAATTTGATAAAGGATTTCCATGTTAATACACAAAACCCAAGCAAATCCGTCATTCCGTTGTGTATGTATGTATGTAAGCTGGGCAAGTTCAAAGGGTCTGTATGATAATGGGCTTATTCCGTCACTTCAATGGATCGCTGATGCAGTCCATATCGTAGGAAGCCCATTTGACCAATGCCCAAAACTCAACTGTCTTTGTGTCATCCTTTTCTGTAAAGGCTTTTGTGGATGTGGATATACATCCAATACAACTCCAGATATCTTACAATGTGGCAAAACTTAAAAAATAAATAAATAAATAAACAATAACGTGGTATTATCGTTACACTAAATAGTTACCCCCTCAACTCAAAAAGGGAATTAAAGCCATGTGCATTATGGTAATTATTAGTTTATTNTTATCTCACCGAATCCTAATCCTAATCCAAAAAAATTCTAATTTTATTTTTTAATAGTTATATCTTTACAACTAAGCACAAAAACGAATTAGCAAACATGATTCAAATTCAAAGCTGGAAAGTTGATAAACTGGAGTATTAAACATGATAACTTATGAAATTTGATAAAGGATTTCCATGTTAATACACAAAACCCAAGCAAATCCGTCATTCCGTTGTGTATGTATGTATGTAAGCTGGGCAAGTTCAAAGGGTCTGTATGATAATGGGCTTATTCCGTCACTTCAATGGATCGCTGATGCAGTCCATATCGTAGGAAGCCCATTTGACCAATGCCCAAAACTCAACTGTCTTTGTGTCATCCTTTTCTGTAAAGGCTTTTGTGGATGTGGATATACATCCAATACAACTCCAGATATCTTACAATGTGGCAAAACTTAAAAAATAAATAAATAAATAAATAAACAATAACGTGGTATTATCGTTACACTAAATAGTTACTCCCTCAACTCAAAAAGGGAATTAAAGCCATGTGCATTATGGTAATTATTAGTTTATTCTATAAGTTTTTGAGTACTTAATATGTCCTTTGCTTTAGGCATTTGCACAATTTATTTTATTAAATACATCGTTTATTATATAAAAAATATAATATATAATATATTTGGCCGTGATAATTATATGTGTATAAGCCTTTACTTACTCATATAGATATAGAAGATTGTATACAACTGTATTACTAATACATGAGTTTAAAACAATTTTCAAGTCTTTATAAGTTAAAAGTCAAATAGAAATAAAAAATAAAAATTGGATGAAAGTATATAAGTAGGTAAAATTGATTTTATTACAATAATTAGAGAAAAAATAAAAAATTAAAATTTTTTGTTACAGATTTAGATAGAAATATAGGTAAGTAGTATTCATCAATAATTTCATGCCACATACTTTTGGTTGGAGTGCCAAGTGGGTGATCATTAATGGGCCACGACCTTGATACTGATGTGGTCTAGAGAGAGTGGGGCATTATTGGGCTTGGGGCTTAAAATTTACGTGGTCCACACACAGTATGTAGTGAATAATGTGTGGGAGTTATTAGTCTGAAGTTGAAAGAATGATGTGCGAGTGAGAAAGGTTCAAGTGAAAAAGACATGGCTGCCCCACTCACTCACTCACTCACTAACTAAACTAATCATAACAACCCACGCAAAGAAAAAACAAAGCAATGTGATGTTTAATTTGTTTCATGCAATAAACATGTGCGTGCCTCAAAAGTCATCTTCGGATTCTCCAATGATCATCATCATTCACNCGCAAACGCAAAGAAAAAACAAAAACAAAGCAATGTGATGTTTAATTTGTTTCATGCAATAAACATGTGCGTGCCTCAAAAGTCATCTTCGGATTCTCCAATGATCATCATCATTCACCGGGGTTTCCTTTATCTGTAATACACATACACATTCACACGTACACGCACACTCCTAGAGAGAAACCAACTTTACCGTGCATCTATCTTAAGCCTAAATAAATAAAGATATTGGGGGTGGAATCTTTTCTCTGCTCAATCACGTGTTTGCAAATGAAATTTATTTATTATACGAGGAGGAGGAGGAGGAGGAGGGGGAGGACCGAGTAAGTAAACAAATAATCATGTTACACGTATGTGGTCCCTGCCCCCCCTCTCCTATAAAGAAGATTTTTGGGAGAGGGTTTGAGATGACTGAAGCAATGACGTCTTGGAAGGAACGTTACATCGGAAACACAGTTGTATACATAATAATCCTACAAGTGTCTCTGTCGATGGACAAGTTTTAATCACGTGATTGAAAGGAATATAAAAATTAAAAAAACATGAGGTCTTCCCTAAACGTGGCCCAAACCCAAAAACTTGCATATATTATATTTTTGGATCTACATCATCTCAGTATTATTTTATTATTTACTGTATATTAATAAATAATTCACTTATATATATATAATATACTCTATTTAAATTACCAATGTACGCATTTTCTGTTTGCAAAGGTGCATTGGTTTGTTATTCATAATTCTACTAGGTTGGCGTTTAAATATTCAACTTTCACACTCTCTCTTATTTCAATTTCAATAATTTGTTCCTCACACTTCTAATTTTTTTGCAATTAATTCATATCCTTAGGAGTTGGGGAATAATTAGCTAAAAGTTATAATAAAATGATCTAAAAATTTGTTAAAAATTTTTTTTGCAATTAATTTATTGAGACCGACTACATATTCAATAGTTGAGATTATCAAGTTTAATTTTTAAATCCATCTAGTATCACTAATTTTTTTATAGAGGCGAACGTAGTCACACTGTTTTAACATTAATTACAAAGTAGTAGAAATGACTATTTTCAACATAAATATATTTCAAAGAGAAATTTTCATCTCAAATAAATTCTAATTCGCGGGAGGGGGAGGGGGGTAATCCTATAGTTATAGTAGCAAAGTTTCTACGTTTTTGCAGGAACACCTCAGACTCAGTGGTGATGGGAATGGAACTCCATTGTCCCAACCAAGCATTCTCGTCCACAGAAGATGATATTTTGGGTCAAAATAATGAGGAACACACCTGAACAAACGCCACATAGGCCTCTACTCGCAAGTCTCACCATTTATAAGCATGCAAGAATATTCATCTATTGTTAAATTGACTGTTATTTCACGACAATAATGTTTAGTTAATTTGGTTGTATATTTGCCATAAACCTCGGGAACATCAACAAAATATGTACAAATTTCACACTTCTAGCTCATCTTATTTCAAACTTGGATTACAAGCACCTTTTTGCACCTAAATCTTACCCTAATAATTGCAGGATAAAAAAAAAAAAATAAAACACCTAAAGTTATTTATGTTGGTGGTGGTGGTGGTGGTTCAAGGATTCCTTTATGGGCGGAGACTCTGTCCTATTACTCCGCCACAGAGCTCTAGGTGCAGTGCTCTAATCTTGTAAGAAGAGCTGCTTTTAATTCATCCTCATGTTGTAATCCATCAGGAACCTTTATGACAACATCTTGAAGCATTAGGTCATTAACGCTGGACATGCTGGCATGATGAACTTTTAATTCCAGATCACGAAGAGCGTTCATTAACCTAGCCGACGGATAATTAGCATTCTCCAACTGAACCCTGATCATCGCATCTCTACCAACAACCTTAACTTCAAGTTCAAGTGGTACTGCTACGGCTACCCCAGATGAAATTGGTGGCTTTGTTTGATCATCCACAGAAGAAGAGGTAGTGGTAGTGGTAGCGGTGGTGCTCTGGTTGTCCAATGTGTCCGCCGATTCCATCTTCACTTTCTTTGATTCCGGTGGTAGTTGTGACTCTAACTCCTCCACTTTAGCTTTTAGTTCGTTGATGTACGACACTGCGTCCGATAGCAACGACGCTTTGTCCATCCTTGACACGTTGGGAACCACCGACCGGAGGGCGTAGAACCGGTGGTTTAGCTTCTCTCGCCGCTGCCTCTCGGCTTCCACGTGGCTCAAAGGCGTGTCTTGGCCAAGATCCGGCTTTCGTCCCCTCTTCTTGGGTTTTCTCTTCTCCACACTCTCAATTACAGCAAATCGACAATCTGAACCCGAAAGCTCAGAGTCTAGATAACATGAAACTACTGCTCCTGCAATGGCCTTGGCTGCTGCTTCTTTGTTGTTGGCGTTAGTATTTTGTTCTTGTAAACCGCTAACTATGCCGTCATCGGCGAAAGAAATGTTTCTTTCAACAAACTGCATGGACCCATTAGTACTACCGGGTTTTGGAATTAAACCAGTGAGATCTGATCCAAACAGTGACTTAGCCTGCTGCAACAAACTCCAGTTTTCTTTGATCATATGACTGGAGCCCAATTCAAGCACTCCACACGAAGTTGGAATACAAACCAAAGTCTCGAAACCATGGATCTGAGCTTCTTTGGCTCTTTCACAGTTGTAAAACTGAAGTTGATCGCCCCCAGCTAACCAAACTAAAGAACCTGAACTAAAAGCCCTGCTGGGAACTCCGTCGCCTGCGGAGAATGATCGCGTTAACGACATCATGTAGAACCATTCAGCGTCGGTGACATCGCTATCAAACGAACCATCTATGTCGGGGTTCTCACCGATGAGAGCTTGAAGTCCTCTCATCACCTTCCTTCTCTCTGTCTGAAACTCGGATGTGGTTTTGTTGCCATCTTTGGGGAGAGAGTTTTTGGTTCCTTGAAAATGGCCATCTCCCCAAGCTAAGATGAAACGTCCATTGTCATCGTTTGATTTTTGCCAGAAAATGGAATATGCCCACCACTCTTGCTGGCTTTGAACTATGAATTGAAGCCTTTGCTGAAGAGTTGGTGGCTTTTCTTGGGACAGCGATGAAATCGAAGAGAATGAGGATGGGGAGACAATCAATTCATCCATGGCTTTGTTTTGCTTTGAGAGGAAGAGAGTGGGTGTGTCTAAAAGGGGGAGAGATAAACTATGAGCAAGTATGAGAGGATTCAAGATGAGAAAACAAATATAAGGGGAATCTCGAAAGAAAAAAATTTAGGACGGTTATCTCGTCGTTTGTTATTATTTTAAATGGTAAAATTTGTTACTATTTTATACGGTAAATTTGGTGCAAAAAAAGGTGACGTATGTGACATTATTGTAAAAAAATTATTTGGATATGATCATGTGATTGCTTATGATTCGTTTGGTATAAACGATGAAAAGAAAGAAGGAATGAAAAGTGAAAGAAATAAATTTTTTATCCATGAAGAAAAGAAAATTATTATTATTATTTTTATTTAGAGTGAGAGATAGAAAATAGAAGGGATGTATTTTTCATCGTTTGATATTGGATGAAAATGAAAGAAAAGGAAAACATATATGCCTAATTTATAATTTTACCTTTAAATATTTTAAGTGAATTTTTTTTATTACAAATCATTCCAATTAATTTTAAATTTTTTTTAATCCCCTTATTTTTGTTACGAATTAATTTTGCTTTGAATGATTTGTATCTATTAATTAAAAAACGACAAAATGACATTAATTAAAAATAAGAATATAAAAAGAATTTATACATTTTTCTGGATAAAAAAATGAAGATACAAAACTAAAAAAGAATATTTAAATTTTATAATCATAACATGAAAAAAAGAACTTCATTTATCTTCAAGTGGCTGACATTAACAAAAGTAAAATAGATATAAAATATTATGCACAATAAGAATGGACAAGAGGGCATAATAATAATTTAGCTTAAACTTAATCAAGATTCTCTTCTTCTCTTTCACTTTGCGCCCAAAACTAGAAGGAAAAAAAATTGAAGACAAAGTTGATTAAGCTTTCTTCCCATTTTTCAAATTTTCTTTTATACCAAACTAGTGTAAACCTTTTATTCCCCTCTATTTTCTCTCCTATATTTTTCATTCACCCTTTTTTCCAACGTATCTATCAAACACAGGGTTAGAATCCCAAAAATGAGCTAATAATCCCTTTTGCCTGGGTTTTTATTGATTAGAATTAGATGAAAACTATGCAAAACAAAAGCCATTAAGAGGGAAGGGTTGTGAATGGGTGGTGGTGGGTGGTTGGTGGGACAGGTGGGGACTGAAACACGGACACCACAAAAGCGCACGTGAAAGGAGAGCGATAGGGCAAGTGATTGATTTAGCACACTGGACTTGGCCTTTCTTTCCACGCCTCTGGCTCTGGGTTCGNGTGGGTGGTGGGTGGGACAGGTGGGGACTGAAACACGGACACCACAAAAGCGCACGTGAAAGGAGAGCGATAGGGCAAGCGATTGATTTAGCACACTGGACTTGGCCTTTCTTTCCACGCCTCTGGCTCTGGGTTCGTGTATTACTATTACATGGATTCATTCAATGCCTCATTTTCATACATTATTACACTGATGTGATGAAATTAAATATTAATTTAATAAAATTAAAGATAACATTTAATAAAATTTAGTGTCAATCCTCTCCGATCTCTAAATTTAAAGATAACATTTAATAAAATTAAATATTAATTTAATAAATATAAAAGTGTTAATAAATAACAAAAGGTGTTGATCAATGGCTGTGAATCTTTAATTGACTTAAGGGTACGTACGGTACCGATATTTGGCCTTGGATAATGTAGTGGTGGCCATTTATACTGACTACTAGTACTATTTGTCTGTCATCTGTCATTATTTTTTTCAATGAAATCTCTACCGTTTCTTTTAATTTTTACAGAAATTTTCGATTTTCTATTGAATTGTACGAGGTTACTGTTGAAATTAGATAACAAAACGGGTCACATGTGAGTTTTTTTAATCATCACGACAACATGTTTTTTAATTATCATTTCAAAGATTTTATCATTACACTTTCAGTTGGTTGGAACTTGAAATATACTAGTGGAGGGTAGAGAGTGGAATGAGTTATTACTTGGTAGGGGGGCACTAATCAATTAGACATAACCTTAATAATACTACATATAATAGTGTACTATTATAATATAATAATTACACGCAAACCTCGTGGATAATAGTGACAGCGAGTGGCATGACCCTATGGGGCTCGTAAAAGTAAATGAATTACAGCATTACCCAAAAAAGATGTATATTTAATTTTCAGTACTGTATTATATGTCTTCTGAAACGAGCAATTCCAAGGATATAGAATTCATGGCGAGCGATTGATGTGTCACACAAACTTAGATACCAAATCATTGAAGCAATTAGGCAATATAAATATGTTCACTTAGCCAAGAATCCCAGTTAGTAGCTGAACACACATTAGAAACTTAAAAATGCTTCCTCTGACTACATTATTAATCAAACAACATGAACATCTCAGACGCTATAACAATGGTTTTACAAACATCAAGAATCTCAAACCAAATCAACATAGACCTACACCCCAAACCGGAATTGTTGCATTGATCGAGGATCTCATGCCCAAGCTTCTCCACCTCCTCTCCTGTTATCTACAATTCCAAGGCCCCCACTTTTCTTAACTGGCTTAGTCAATTGAAACACAGGATGCCTGCATAGTTTCCGCACCCCTTTCCTCAAACTTAGCCTGTGCAAAATCCCCTCAACTTCCTCATTCTCACACCTCTCTCTAAAACAATTTTCTATAGTTTCTCTTTTGCACATAACAGGTGAGTTCCTACATGAAATGGATTCATATGCCTCTACAGCATCATTATTACTCTTGAAGCTCCAGAATTTATCGGCAGCATCAGATTCCAATCTGCCCAAAGTGGCACTTCTCCAAAGTTTGTCAGCACCAGGTCTCTCATGGACACACCCACTGCAAGTTTGCTCACGAAATACCATGCTGTTTGAGTTTGATGAATCAGGCTCACCACTGTCGCTGGCCGATGCTGCACAGAACGGTATCAATTGAACTGTTGCAGCTGATTCTTCTCTTTCCCGAAGAGTTTTCATTATCAGAGTCTTGAGAAAATTCATCACTTGAACTGCATGAATTAATGCAGTCAAAGGATCGGCCATCTGCATCAAATACAATGTAATAAACAGTTATATACACCACAACTGTGATAGAAAAACTTGGAAACAAGGAGATTTTCCACGTTTGGTCATTACAAAGACGTGCGTAATTGATGCCAAAGTGTTGCAAACTTGTCTCGACTAGTATGATCAATTACGAAGCATCCAGGTGAAGCTCCTAACTATCCATTTGGCCTATATTCACAAGCTGTGCAAATATATCACAAATTTTACGGCTATCCACTTTAATGAAGCTGTGGCAATTGCAAAGCCAGACTCCTAAGGCCATTCCAATTTATTTGCGCTTCTAGACCTTTGAGAATTTGAGCCACCAGAAGTAGTAGAAGTGGTCTAACAGGAAAACAGGAACTAGGAATTTTTTTTTCAAAAAGTGGACGACATAAAACAAGATGGTCCCATAACAAATTTTTACTCACCTGAGTCATGTTAGGAGCAAAAACCATAGCGATGTTGCGGACATTCATTTTATTGTGATGCTCATGCTGCACAACATCTGCCATCAAATTGATGGCCCAGTCAAGTAATGCAGCTTCACTTGGAGGAAGTAACTTCACAAGTTGAGTGCACTCGTCCTCTGTATTGCAATGCATAACCTGTTCAGGAGTCAGACAATCAAGAACTCCTGCCGGAAGTTCTCGAAACCATGCCTGCAGAACACCAGAAAGTTGTAATCCATTTCAAAATATACTTAAAATACAAAGAGAAAGCCAGCTACAATAGCTTCAAAACTAAAAGATATATTCATTCAATGAAAAAAAATCTGATAAACTTCTGATCCAACGTCGTAATTTAGGGGTGGAGGATTTCAAATCTGTGATGAGCTCGTCAAAATTGTATTACATCCATATGCAACACATCTCAAATCCACAAAGTGTTGCATTCTCATTAAAAAATTTTACAATTGCAATTCAGCTCACCATCACATTTTCAAGAAGCCGCAGAACTTAAAGCATGACCTAGGTTGCCACAGCTACATACTAAGACTGAAGAATAATGCATGTGGAAAATCACACCCAATCTATCAAAGTATATTAGTAAGCCATCAATGGATACAGTAGTATACTTTAATCAAGTGACCAACGGGATCAAATCTGGACAGACAGTGGGCAAAATAATGCGCCTCACAAAAATATGACTTTGGAAAGCAGAAATTGTAGTCAGTAGTGCCTATCAATTGACATAATGTCCCACCCA